GCCTTGAAAATGACCTTACAGGACATAGTAAATCATATGATCCAAACTTGATTTTCAAGGCAAAGACCCCATATAATAATAATAGTTTAACAAAATATTTGTAATTACAAATATTAATCAAATTATAATATATTATATAAACCTAGATCAGTTGTATATAAAACATAATAAGTTCTAGTAAATCTTTTGTTAAAAATAAAATAATCCTAAAATACTAATAAGAATCAGAAACTTAAATACAAGTTGAATTGTATATGTAAAAGGTTTAAATAAACAAAACCCATAATTGACTTACAAGTATAATATCTAGTATAAAATCTGTATAGTATATATAGACAGACTACTTAAATTAAGCACTAAAAGTGCATGTAACCTCCTATATAAGTGTACCTTTGAAAGTCCCCATATTCATAATAACTTAATACAAAAAAAAAATTATGATACCCTCTTATAATTCTTTTTAAATTCATTTGAACTCAATATATATTTTAATTATCATTTTTTGAATTCATTTGAACCCAACCTAGTTTTAATTAATTCATTCTAAGTTCATTTAAACTCAACCTGGGTTTATATAAGTCTAAATTCATTTGAACCCAACTCAATAGCAAGTCTCATTTTAATGTGAGCAATTTTACTATAAACCTCATTAGTACCTAACTTTATTAGAAACACTAACCTTAACTTAAACGAACTTAAAGATTTTTTGGTGCGTCACAATACGTATTATCATGCAACAGTAACCTTTTTGCGGCGTTCTGGGTAAGATCTAGTGATATGAATCGAAAATCGATTAATCGTTAGTTGACTTAGTTGACAACTAATCGATTAACAATTTTGACCCAACTATCAATCGATTAACCAACTAATTGATTAATGAATTAACTATTAATCGATTAATTAGTTAGTTGTCTTTATTTTAATTGGTTTTTAATAAACTTAAATTAGATCAATTAATTGATTAATTGATTAGTTAACAGTAATCGTTTTTTTAAAAAAAATTTTAAAAAAATTTCTGACTTTTGATCTTGTGATCAGGTGTAACGTGATCGATTTCTAAGTAAAAAATTGCGTGTAAAATTAAATCTAAGAAAACCGCGTTATAATTGGTATAATTAAGGTTATGAGTATAACAACGTGACGACCATTAGTATAATTTCACGAGAGCCATTTTTAATTAGGCCGCAGAAGATGGTTTCCTAATAAAAAAAGTGAGTTCATTTCGATTTTTACATTACACCTGATCTTAAAATTCGATTGGTCAAAATTTAAGGGTGAACAATTTTTGTGGGAACTCTACCTGCTACTAAGACTCTAAACGCGATTTCACCCTAACGTGATCTAATTTACGACGCGGGTTTCATCTTTCCTATTACAGTATAATTAATATTACGTAATTTAAAGAGATTTTATCATTACCAATAGTTATATGCTAATTAAAGTATGATAAATAAGATGGAAATTTACGAGTTTACTACAAGCTACTGTGAGTCTTACATTGTAAATTTTACGAGTTTATAACTTAAATATAGTATTTTAATACAATACAAAGTTTTTTTTAACTTTCATAATACACATTTCGCGAAATTTGCTATAATATTACGTATGTGGATTTTTTTTTTATTGCATATTACAAGTTTGTAATTATGATCAAAACGAGTTTCTGGATATACAAAAAATAAATATAAAAATGTCATATTTACGTCAATTGAAGATCAAACTTCTTTTCTATCTGTTAACTTTTTTCCTATCATTTAAAAGAATTTTAAAATTGTTTGTACAAAATACATGGATTTTGTTTCGTAATCTTTGACTTTAGAAAGTGTACATAAGGTTCATAACAATGAGAATCAGGCAAATAAAGCCAGAAGATCGAAAAAGGAGATCTGCTATGAAGTCTCAAGAGGTTGATATCAAGTTTATAAACATATACGTATTAATAATTATTTATGATTTATTATTTTTTTTTCTTTGAATAACTATCAGGGTCGGCAGTGGAACAATCGATGGGCCTACCCTGACGATGACAAGGAAAGAGAAATATTAGATATGTGGAATACATGTGACGACCCTTTAAATTCTATTCAAGATCTATCATCCACGGATATGGCAGAAATTCCTTTTAATTTGGATGATTACATTAAACATTTTAATGGTCAAAAACCCGATGTCAAAGGGAAATCTACCAATGGAGTTTGCGATTGGTTACGATCTCTTTCTCTCAATGATTTACCGACTAAACCACCACAAATGCCTTTGAAATCTCCTGATAATGATGATAGTTCAATGGCTCCGGAACATCAGACAAAGCATGTAGTATACAGATTGGTTTATGAAAAAAGTGCTTATGACGAGCAGGTAACGTGATATTTAATATCAATGAAATTTAAATAATTTAAAGATTTAAGGAATGATATTGATGAGATAATTAAATTTAGAATTATAAATGGGAAGTTAGTGAAGAAACAAGGTATTGTAATGTTAAAATTTTGATTTTGTATATCGCAAAAATTATTATTCAGCAATTATTTTAACAACATAATAAAGTAAAAAGGTTGACAAAAAGCCACCAAGAGTTATGGCTGAGTCTGAAATGTTAATCAACTTTGAGGAAAGCAAAAAGGTTGACAAAAAGCCGTCAAGAGTTATGGCTGAGTCTGAAATGTTAATCGACTTCGAGGAAAGCAAAAAAGTTGGCAAAAAACCGTCACAAGTTATGAATGAGTCTGCAATGTTAATTGACCTCGAGGAAATGACCGAGTCTGTAATGTTAATTGATCTCGAGGAAAAGAACGAACTTCCAATGGCACCAACACATAAAATTTCTGATGATCTCAGATCATTGGACATGGATCAATGGCATAAATTTTTTGCAAGACACTAAAATTTAATAGTTTTCAATTTCTTAATTACATTGCACCTGATTCTGCAATATGATTAATTAATCACTGATCACTCTGCATTCATCGCTGTAGGCTATAAATAGCAAACTTATTTTAAGCAATAAGATTTTTTAATGCTAGTAAACTTGATCTGTAAGAATTTGAATCAAAGATAATATGTAACAAATTATATAAAAAGCTTAAAATGTCAGCATTGTATTACATTATAGAATGAGAAAATTTAAATAATAGAAATATAATGATGTACGTGGGTTCTTACCGGTTATTTATAAAAATATCTTAGCAACGATCTGAGATACTGAACTTTAGAAGATTGCAAGGTTCTAAAATGCCACGTAATTGAGGTACGTATGTATTAGATTAAATGCTGCCAAGCGAAACCGGAAATTCTAAATATTGATATAGAATTTTTTTACGCAACGGAATGTGTGCTTTAATCAAAATTACTAAAGTAATCAATTGTACTGTTCTTTAATCACATGTTATTGTTTAAACTTGCACTTCGGTGTGTAAAGAATTAAATATTTAAGAATTTCTGGTTTCACTTTTTACTCTGTTAGTTTTTTATATTATTAATCCAAATTTTATTTATTATTTTTTTTTCATTTAAAAAGTTATTGGCGAATTTTTAATAATGTGGTTGAATAATAAATCGAGAAAGTTATTGATCCCGCAAAATGCTATACAATAAATTTCTACTTTCCGTTGTTAGATTAAGAACAAATTTAAATTACATTTAATTCGTACATTGAATGTTGTGTTCGAATTCAAATAAGTTTAAATTTAAATATGAAAATACAAGTAACCATATTTACTGGATACGTATTAGCTTTTCTTGCAGAAGTGATAATTTATATTGCATAGGTGATTTCACGCATATCAGAATCAAATTTCAAACCTCCCAGAAATACATGATGGGGCTTGTATACTAATTACTGAATTATATAATCAAAAATCGACAAGTCAATAGAGTTGACGTGCCAATTCATTCAAACCCCACGCATGGCATCTGTATTTGATAATTTGATAGTACATTTTTTCGTGTTAATGCTTCGGTAGATTATAAGAAAATTTCTTTAAAGAATATCTTACACTATATATATATATATATATTGTAATTAACTATACATCATATTTCTCTTGTAACTAATTTCGTCGTCTAATTTATTAACTAACCCTTTTTGCTAATGTGTTTAACTGGATTAATCCAAGATTTTAAATATAAACTTTTACAATTCTTGCAATTTTTTTCTTTAAACCAAATTCTTAATGAAATAGCTTTCACGACACTCTAAAAATTAGGTTTCATTTGTCGGATGTGTTTTTAATACAAAATTATCATGAAAACAATTAAAATCTACAAAAAAAAGCACCTAGATTCCATTGCACTCGATAAAGTTAACTGATGTTGGTTATAATACATACTGATTTAGTAGAACCGTTTTTCAGGGAAATGACTTTAGGAACATACAGTAACCGTTATCCTCAACATAAAGCAAAGAATACTAATTTACAAAATTTTAGACTACGAGTATTATGTGTTTGAGCCGATAATAAACCGGATGAATTTACTTCCAATACTCATGGTTTTATATAAATACGCGAGCGAGAACACAATTTATTGTTATTCAAAAACAAACCAAATAAATAATAGAATCGTTAATATTTTCAAAAAGTACACTATCGGATATTATCGATCTAGTATGAAGGAATTATCAAAGCACACTGTTCTAAAAATACTAGTATTTATTTACATATATAACCAAAAGTGAATATTATTGTGTAAAATCCGACATTAAATCTTTAACGATCTTTTTTCAATAAATTGTATCTATGGCAAATTTGAATAATCAACTTAGGACATTTAAAAGTTGAAAAAGTTTAACCGATTCTATTACTAAAAAAATCACCGAAAATAATCAAAAAATCATGGTCAAGAGATGCTATTGCTGGTATTGAATTGTCATCCTAAATGGATGAAAAAAAATGTATATACACTTAGCGATTATTCCCTAATTAAATCGTTCATTGTGTTTGGTGCAAATAAGAAAAACACTACTTGAGCATGATTTACATAAAGTTGTCTTCACATATATCCCTTTAAAACCTCAATGTCCAGTTTAGGGTCAATTTTTCCGGTGTAAAAGTAGTATAAAATTCGTTTGAAAGTCTTGTAATCGACATAATCAATGTGTATTGCCTTCACATCAGAACTTTGTAATTGTTTCAAAGTTTCATTACTTAACTATAAATTACGATTAATAAGATAACAAAAATATATAAATCATTAATATCATTTTGCAAAGTAAGAAATAATTCATAAATATCTACCTTGTCGATTTCATATATCCTATCATTATCGGACTTTTTATTGATAGGATTCCATCCGTTTTTACGCATTTCTATAAGGTCCTATTTTAATAAACAATATTACAATTATTAATTAAATCACGACAAAGTAAAGAAAATAAAATGAATTTTTACCATCAACATAACACATAATTGCTTATTCAAATGCGTATGTTGCGCGAAGAAAGCCATTCTTTCAAAATACGTGTCCATATGAGATCGTGCCTTCTCATGATCCATTAGTTTACCAGCTGTTTTCAACAATTCATACAAAAAATCAATTCTTTGATCGAGGAATGGACTTTGTGCCTTATTCAAACAATGTTTGACACATTTATGTATCATTGATTCGGTAATAACATTTCTTTTAAACAATTCTGCAAAGAATCGTGCAAGACCCAGCCAACGTTTTCTTTCTCGAATTGCTAAAAAGTATTCATTTGACCTTTTATCGATAATTTCACCTTTATCGTCACATTTAATGTATAAATCGACTGCACAACCTTTTTCCAATTCAATCTGACACTTGGTGTACAAATATTTTAAAAACAAATTACGTCCTTTTGCAGTATAACCATCTGGCATATTGATGTATTTATCAATGATTTCTTGATCCATTCCGTCCATTATGCTTTTGCAAAGGTGAGCGTACAGGTCACTGAAATTTTGACATTGACACGCATAATCAAATATAACATATATAACCGTACGCAAGGTATGTCCATCCTTCTCATCTTTTGACCTATTAACGATTGCAATAATTTGATTTGCTACATTTTCCATATTATCCCATATCAACCTATTCAATAACCCCGTTAAAAGACGTCGAAGTTTATTAGATTGTTTTTTATCATTATTTCGTGGTTGATATTCTTCGGCAATTAATGGTTTATTTCCATCAAACATTTTTTCAAAGTATTTAGAACGAGCAGAAAGAATTACTTTATGAGCTCTAAGTCTATTTCCACATTCGAAACGGAATTCAACATCACAAAATCTATCATTGTATAAGAATGGTTCGAATGGAGTTGCATCGTTAACAGGAGAACCCATCAAAGTTATTTTAATTATAACTTCAGAATCACAAGAATCGGATAGGATAGACTCTGTTCGACAAAATTTTGCCAAGCCATAAGAATTTTGTCCATTTTTTTCAACATTATCAACGGTAAGATGTGCGAATTTAAGGGAGTGAGGGTTAGGGGGTTGAAATAATTCCAACTTTAAAATTTCATAATTTTGAAAAATGCCTTGTGGAGCATCTTTTCCTGATCTTAAAGTTGCTTGTAAGTAAAGAGCGATAAAACCAGCTGGTTGATATTGCCAATTTCCATTAGGAAATAATCTGATTCTACAATCATAACTTTCCCTAGTAATTTCATCTTCTAAAGTAAAATTGCTACTTGTTAAAAATCTTCCTCTAGGATAAAGGTCAACTAATCTTTTAAAATTCTTAATAGTCCAACTGATAGACCAAGTGGGCGTAACATATTTCTGGACCAACACCTGGTCCTGGTCTTCATTTAAACTGTTGTCTTGATCATGCCGTCCTTTTTTATCGGTACAGTAAAATTTTGAACAGCTTGATTTGGCCATCATTAAAAAAAAAAAAAAACCCCTATTTTTTTTTTCTTTTGATAAACCGATAGCTTCCGATAACTTGGATTGACAACTTTTATTCCTTGGGGACCAGGAACTAGGACAATTTTGAATTCTTCGTTTTCTTAATTATTTAATCGCGTAACTACGTTTCAGAACGACAAACAAAAGCCATGAGAAATTGTAACCTATATAAAAAATTATTGATCAACATGACTTCATTTTGCATTAAAGTTGTTTGGTAGCATCATTTATGGTCACAAGAACATTGTTTTTTTCAGGAAATTTCTGGATCCTTCCGATACGATATGATATTAATGCAAACAAATTGAGCTTCACACTAACACGTGGCTTTATTTTATGAAGCAACGCATGGATGTGTAATTACTAAAACAAGATTAGCCTGTACAACATTCTCATATACACGTGACTAAGTTTTCGACTCTTCCCTTTCTATCTTTACGCACTAACCTAAAATTAAAGTGTGTTTCAAAAAAAGTAAAGTCAATAAACTTTATTTCAGATTGTGTAATTTTTTTTACATTTCAAATCAATCTAAACATTTACTAAAACGCTAAACAAAATTAGTAAAAGTGTTTGGATTTGATTTTTGTTTTACATATGCGTAACCAATAAAGTAATAAAGTTCTAACGTTATGATAAACATGTACGTACTCACCTGTGAAAACCATACAAAATTATTTTTATGACCTTCCAAGTTAAAATTTGTTATCATTATAAATGAAAATATATAAAAATAATAAAAAGTTGGATGGGTTGCACAATGTACTAACCTACTAACTTACCAACCTATGCAGGAAATTTTAAGATAACGAAAAATTTGATAATATAAATTTTACATATTTCATTGTAAACCTATCATCGTTGTATTGATGTTATCGTTATTGTCTACTAAATGGACTAAATGGATTAAATGAGCAATAATGATTTTCTGCGGTTATATTTACCGTTATTTATTTTTTAAATATAAATAAATACCGCCTCAAAAAACCCATCGGCCTTGGATGGCGTAAAGATTTGGTGGTACCGTAATCCTTGAACCAATAGGAATAAAAAAATCACTGTCAAACTATTGACATCTATATTTAAGTTTATATTTAAGTGGATCGGTAATGTATTCCGAATTGGCTCGGGATTACAGTATCGCCAACTTTTTTCGCCCGAATCAGATGATCGGACAATGACAAAATGGGCCTAATTTTTGATTGCACACTTCATGAATAATATTCCCAAATTCTTATTATACTTCTTCAGTTACAAAGTTAGCTAGTGGCTTTCATAAAAACTCATACAATCACCCGATTGTCGTCCGATTGCGTGATTTTTTAAGTGTTTCTTTGATCAAAAATTAAAATCTTTTTGTTATAATCGCGCGATCGGATAACAACAGGTGATTGTGTAGGTGAGTTGCAAATTGATGTATCGGTATCTTATCAAATTTTGCATATCAATTTGATTGGTTGAACATCAAATTTTGGTGTGTACTATCGCTATGCGTGTACATAGATGCACCGGATCAGCCCGACGAATCAAAACAAAGCGAAAAATACAAAAACAACAAGAAATGGCAGTCTAAACCTACCTTGGAGCATTAATAAAAAATGTCAAGAAGGCAATTTTATATGCAAAGTCGCCTTCGTTTCTGATCTAATCTTAGTCTAGGTGGCCCTAACCCTAATATTGGTTTAAAAAACGTTAAATTAACGATTTTATTTGTATAGAATTTTTGATTAAGAAAATCGTGATTGTAGCGATCTGAAAAATTCGATAATCAAATATACATCATTTTACAAGCCCCAATAATCATATCCAATGATGCTAGTGAAATTAAATCAGAGTGATGAAATGATTTCATCGACATTGGTGTAACCGGTGTAATTGGTGAAATGATGAATAGGTATAGATAGGATGGAATATGTTTTAAAACGTGATCTTAAAAAACATGAACGTTCTGACGTAATCATAATGATAAAAATTAAATTCCTTAAAATATGATATCATTTTTGAATCATAAAATTTTATTTTAACAATTATGTTTCGTGAAAAGCCTCCGTTAAAAGATATTCGCTTGAACTTTACAAAAGTTACTGAAACTGATAAATGTGGTTGAATTGCACCTCACCAAAAATGTATCCATTGTGAAGAGGACTTTGTTGATTTAGTTGCCCAATTAAAGGGACACTTATATAAATGTAAAAAGCTTTCAAAAAGTATTAAAAATTCATTAAGCAATACTCAAGATTCTGGTTTAGGTAATGATAGCATATTATTAACAAAATTATATATGAATCAGAAATTATTATAACAAGATTTTTTTATTCATCTGGTATTCTTTTTATAGTTATTGAAATTTTCTTTAAGAATTCAGATGCTGTGCATCTTTATATTAAAAATATTAGTTCATTTTATATTAGTTCTAATTAATAAACTTTGCCAAACAATTTACTAGATTCTGAATATGAAATTGAATAACAAAATCTAGTTATAATTTTTAAGAAAATAACAAACATTATATTAATTTCAAATGAATAATCAAATATCTAATAAGAATCTGTTTTAAATTTCATTATCAGTCTTCTCAAATCAATCTTTTATAATGCAAAGTATTCTGGCTCAGAGTTTTATATTGTAAAATACATTTATAATGAGTTAAAAACTGTAATTAAAGATATTGGTTTTTTAAAGTTGGTTAACATTATAATAAATAATATAAGTATTTTGGAAATTATTAAATAAAGATTATTTTTAATTAATTTGTTTGATTTGTAATGTATATTTTTAAAATCTTTTGATTAAGAATATATTTAAACTTGATTGAATTGAAAAATTAATTAATTATATAAATCACAGTAATACATTAGATATCATATTCACTCTTCCTGACAATCACTTAAACCAAATCAGCATCAAAACAGTTTGAAGAGTTATGCTTTTAAGATGATGATATCTTTGATTCTGTTTAGATATATAAAGCAGATTGTTGCTAACAAACTAGAAGTACATGAAAAAACTAAGATGCAGACAACTCTTCTGATGGTTTGTGTTAAGGTCAAGCCTTGTCTGTTAGTGGACTCTCTAACATGTTTAGTACCCAAACTAGAAAGACATTTTGGAAACAATAGAGAAAAACTCTGATTAAAGATTATCAAAAGCTTGAAAACAAATGAACAACTGGAAACACTCTTTTTGGTTTGGCTTTTCGCATATCATATCTGTCGACCTTCTCTACCTATTTCGTTTTTCTTACTCAAAAGTAGAGAAATTGACACCCCTTCTACAAAAGATCAGCATTGTTTACTACTTTCTTTTTCAGACAATTATGTGTTATGACATAATGTAATAGGAACACAACAATCACATGTATGGCCTAATATATAGTGTAATGAAGAAATAAAGAAGGATTTAAGTTAGAGGATTATAGCAAGTTAGAGATATATAATAATTCCTAAAATCATGTATATAAAATTTTTATCTCTTTAGTATAGGTTAAAGTGTAGTTAGATCCTTAGCACAGGTTTAAAGTGCTAGTGTCCTAAATAGTCATGAATAAGGTGTGCTTCTTGATACTTTTTTTTTTTTTTTTTTTTCCTGTATCCTTTTTTAGTTTAGTTTAGTTTAGTGTTTTTTTCTTCTTTCACTTCCCTATAGAAAGTGTTATCAGATTGGTAATACTCTATTGTAGAGTGGTGGTCAGATGAGCCTCCCAGATCCTCTTTTTTCTTTAAAAATTAGGCAACTGGTGTGACAGATCGCTTGTAAGTATTCATAAAAGTAACTACAGAATGTTGACTTAGTATATTAAATTTAAAAATGTTTGTTAGTATATAAACAGGAAACTTAATAAAGAGTATTGGCAAGACTGCCAAAATGAAAAAAAAACAAAAAAACAAAAAAAAAATTAATTATATAAACCAGATTATAAATTTTTTTGAGAATATTATATTGCAGAATCAATTTTATTAAGTTAATCAAATATAATTATCTTAATTCAATCTATTAATAAATATATATATATATTTTTTCTTCACTTGAGCAGTCTTGCTATTTTTCTTTATTATATATTTTTGTATTAGATATATATAAATTAGTTCATAAATTCTGGTCTAATATTCTGCACATGCTTTTATGAGTTCCTATGAGTAATCTGCTTGTATTAACTGTCTAACTTTAAAAAAAATTAGAGTATATTAGAGATCACATCTGACCACCACTCTACAATAAAATATTGCCAATCTGATAACATCTTCTTGTAGAGAAGTAAACAAAAACAAAAAAAAACACAGAGGTATAAAAATAGATAATAAAAGATACAAATGCAAGAAATAAAAGAAAGAAAGAAGAGAAATGAGAAATAAAAGAAAAGATATATATGACTTTTGCCATATGACTATTGGATGGTCACAATTATAAGCCTATATTGGGCTTTTAAAAATTATAAACTATACTAAATAAAAATAACTCTACTATTTTTTTTTTTTGGTATTAAGGTGAGGCCTTGCTTATATCTTTATTAATAATTTAAAATAGTTACATGTATATAT